ATATTTGATGATAAATTCAAAGAAATTGCTACAGTAAACACCACCATAGGATTATTAAGATGGATGAGTATACTTTTGGAGTGAAAATGTCAAGTATCATTTTTCAGAGAGCAATGGAAAACGTGTTAACTGACAAAATCAGTAATATGATTATTTATCAAAATGATATTTGTTAATAACAAATTAAATAAAATAATAGGACATGTGTTAAACAAATAATAAATGTGGGGATGACAATAAACAGTGACAAATGTGAATTTAATTTTGATACAATATCATATTTAGGGTACCAAATTTCAAAAGATGGTATTGCACCAGATCTAAAGTTAATTAAGAAAATTTCATAGGTATCTATTCCTACTAATAAAAAAGAATTAGACTTCTTTTTAAGATCAGTTAATCTTTATAATGGATACCTACCAAAATACAGCGACTAAATAGTCCCATTTGCTGAACTGCGGTAAAAGAATAGTGAGTTCAAATAGATTCATATTCAAAGCTTAGTATTCAAGGATTTAAAACAGATACTAGCCGAAAAAAAAAAACATTTAAAAAATCTTTGATCCCAGAAATGAAGTTATGTTAACTACGTGTGCGAATGAGTGAAGCTGTGTCAGCAATTTTATCGCAAGAGGTCCCTTAATAATATATACATCAAGAAGATTGACGGCAGCCAAAATAAATTATTTCAATATTAAAAAAAGAGACATCGGTTAGAGCCCGATTATTTTTATTAGGTAAGAAGTTCAAATTAAAGTTGGACCATAAACTTCTAGAGTTTATTTTTAACCCTAGAAAGGAACTACTAAAATTTCTTTCTTCCAGGATTCTAAGGTGGGCAATGAATTTAATGTCTTATGATTTTGACATTGAGTGCGTAAAAGGAAATACAATACCACATTTCGATACGATGTCATAGGGTTATCCAGCAGCCACATCGCCTTGTGGGTGTGGCTGCTGGAAGATTATTATATGTGTGGGGCGCAGTTGTTTGAGAGACCAAAAAAACTCGTAGCGCGAAAGATAATCTGAAGAAAAGAATTATGCTAGCATTCACCAACTTAAAGAAGGAGACCGCACAGAAGAGTTGCAGGAGATTCCGAAGTCGTTTTCATTCAGTAAAATGACGATTTTATTGAATAAATTTACTCTTTATTATTTCCAAGATATTTTTTATGTAATTTTGATAAATATATCTGTAAAAAATGAGATATCAGTGTTATTTTCATTTTTGCGTAATTTAGACAACAATTTATCCTCCGCGACCACACACACACACACACACACACACACACACACACACACACACATATATATATAATATATATATATATATATATATATATATATATATATGTATACAGCAGCATGGCCAGCGTTGCCTGTGCTTGATTCAAAAAAATCGTGCGATTTTTCTCTTTCTTAAACTATCACATTCCTTCTTATATTTTTGGTTAAATGCTTTCTTTTAAGGCTTTCCCTTTGCCGTACCTTGCTACAAGCCCTTAGTTTCTTGCCTATTTGATTTCAATATACTGTCATCTAAATCTTGTACTGTTAAGATTGCGCAAAATGACAATAACTCCTTCTAAAATCACCTCGTACCTTTTAGGATAGCCTTGAATGAAAAAATCAATGTTAAAAGACATATTTTTGTCTTATGTCCCAATATTTTTTGCGGAATCCCTATTCAACGTTGATTTAAGCAAGCAGAATGAGCCAGTTCTCACTATAAGTTCATCATTATTTAACATCCTTCCCCATAAATCATTCCTTTTTCTTTAGCTTTAAATTTTTGTGTCGTATCTTATCAAATGCTTTCACGTAATCTCCGCGCTTAATATACATCCTTCCTGCCTTTCGTTGCTTTTTCCGATATCATTCTTATTATAATACAGAATTTTTTGCAATATCTTTTAAAAAACCATGTTACCCTTGACGCCTTTCCAGTCTAATTATATCGATGACCCTATTCATTAGAATTCCTGATTAACTTCGTTATGTGGTTCATAAATTTGATTTTCAAATCCGTCGCATTCATTTGCGTCTGTTTTTTTTTTTAGATACACCTTCAAGAGATGAATCTACTTAGTTATTTCGGTAAATCGCCATTGTTGTATTTTTTCATCAATTATTTCTATGATCATGTCGATTTTTTTCAATCGTCTAAGACCGGAAATAATATTGATAATACCTTGCAAAAAGCGTCAAATTTTATGATGTAAACGAATTAAGTGGAACGTATATTTTATTTATAGATAAATGCAAAAGTTATAGGTAACAAAACATATTTCATTAACACAGTATGCCATCAAATTTCTCCTTTTAATCATCTCATCCTTTTAAGACTGTAATGTTTATTAAATACGCAAGGAGTTACAGGTTTGAAGGCAAAGAATTTTTGAGAACGAGGAGGATTTTGGAAAGGACAAAAAGATGAACAGGATTTAAGAAGATAGGAGATGGCGATTGACGTTGGATTTAAATGTTTAAGATTGTAATTATCAGGTAAACAAAAAAAAAAAAAAAAAGGAAAAAGAGTTCTACAGGTGGAAAGTTGAAAAAAGAGACTCTTGGACGTAGAAGTAATGGTTGCATTTACCTATTTCAATATTAAAATAATTTGTTATTATTATTATTATTATTATTATTATTATTATTATTATTACTATTATACATTGTTATTGTACATATTAATATTAATATTTACTCATTGACATTTTATAATCTTCGACAGTTTTTGTTCATTTCTTACTGTTTAAATTATCTTCACTTGAATATTGTTTTCTGTTCTCATCTCTATCGCGAAGATAAAAAAATTCTATTGAGTGAATAAATGTACAGGCTGCGTCTATTCCACTAATTTTCTATACATGAAATCATTTTTTTTTACTTGGCAAGGTGGACCTAGTCAGCTATGGAGAAACCAGGGCCATTTTCTTAAAATGGATCTACACGTGAGTTTCAACATTTTTTGGTAAATAAATCTGTATTACAACAAAAACTTTGTTCAAGAAATTCTCTTCTTTAAATATACATAAGGTTTTTGATATCGTTAAACAAACAAATAAATCTTTCTTCTATTAATTCTCTGCATTTATTATATATATTTCATCAAATATCAATATACATGTATATTTCACAACCTACGAAAGTACGATATCAATCATTATTTAAAATTCATATTTGCTATCTTTTTCTTTATATTGGTTTTTATTTCCAGAAATAAAAAAACCCATTTACCTGTCAGTTCCATCCAATGGATTACTCTATTTATCCCCAAAAGTTACAGTTTCCAAAGCTGTTTTCTATGTTGATCTCTGTTTCTGACTTTTCTGTTTCTGATATTAACTTGAAGGAAGATTATTTGTTTAATTTTCATGACTTTTTTCCAACTTTTCATATCTTTTCTCTATTTTTTTTTTCGCAAATGAAAAATCGTTAAATATATTCTTTTTCGAGTCAATCCACTTTTTATGCAGATTTTTTAAATTTTGACCAGCTCTTTTTATAATATTCTTAATTCCCCCACCACACACTTTGTTTTCATGTCCCTTTTCCTTATTTTTTATCTTTATCTGTTTGGTAGATTCTTCTTTTTAGAACTAAAAGTTTTAATTCACAATTCCATTAATTAATCCTTTCTTTGCATTACGATGATTCTGTCTTGGGTTATATTTCCCTTTCTAACCATGGCAATCTTATATAAATGAAATTAAAAACGTCAAGAAGACTAATAATTTGTATATTTTCTACGTAAAAAGCTCCACCATTAGTAATACCTTTATACAGCAAAAATTAAATCATCAGAAAATTTGTATCATTTAAAATATTTATTTACAATATGATGAACAACCATCATTTGCCTAACAAAATCTCATTAAATTAAGTTCTTGCAAATGTTTTAAATAAAAAAATAATATTTTTAACAGAAATGCATTTGTTATGTTTGTAGGATAACTAATTGTAGATCCTAACCACATCGGTTCTTTAATATTAATTTTATTACAAAAACATCGTGGTTAACAATTAATCTGATTTTCTTGTATTTAATTAATAAATGCCATTTAAGGAGATAATTCAATTCTTATTTCCAAAACAGATGTTAGGAATGACATGTCACTTCTATAAACATAAAACTGCCAAAATATATTTTAATTTTCCTCTTTATTATTTGCAGCCACTTACTCTATAAGAAGAAAATGGAATTGCTGGATAAGACCTGATAACAATGCTTTTTTAGAAATGTCTAATAAAGAAATGATCCAAAAAGATTCTGCTAAATAATCTTTTAGGTGAACATAATTTGAGTTTTCATATAAACTAAATATAAAGAATTAGAAAAACATTCACATCGACTGTCAAGGTTTTGTAAGCGTCTATTATAAGCTGTAATAATTTATCAATCTTTTAAAATATTTCCTTAGTCTACATAAATTACATTTAATGTCTATGGTAAGACAAATTAAGCCACTGAAGTAAATGTGTAAATAAATTTGCTTGGTATTATTATCTACTTACAAAATATTTCGTACTGCTTTCTGTGTTTATTTTTTCTGCATATTGACAAAGGTTGGAAAACCCAATGAGGGCAGATCTCTCCCATTTTTAAATAACAATAGGTCATTTTATTCATTTGAACTGTTAAGACTATTGATTGTTGATTTGACACTACAAACCTTTTTTTTTTTGGTATTCATTGTATGTAATGAAACACAAAAAGGAAATAAGCAATCATTAAAGAAATTCCGGAAATAAACAAAATGGAACCACTTTTAAGTATTACACAATTGAGTGAATTTCCAAGAATCCCCATGTACTTATATGATAGGATGTAAATTAGATATTCCACACTTGAATATTTATTAAAAACGGTGCCTGCTAAAACTATAAATTCCACTGGCAACTGAATTCAGACATTCGGGATTTTCTGACAGGGACAGGCAGACAACATTTGAATGAAACTGCGTTCTTCGACAGAAATCGCCTAAGACCCCACGATGAATTCGCTCGTCGTAATTGCAATGTTTGCCCTGATTGGGTTTACATTTACATCAGCATCTGTCATAGATCGAAGTGATAACGAAATACCAGAATCAATGGAAGGTAAGTACAGAAAATTGCAAATTTCTAGTTTTTCTCTTTTCTCTCTCTCATATACACATTACACACACGCACGCATATACACATACACATAGATATTTCAATAACTTTGTTACCTCTCTTGATGTTTGCACTTGTATCTACATGATGAAGTTTAAAAATTTTACAGAACATAACCTTAGTGTTTTTCTCTTCACACGTAAAAGTTTAAATTTCAGATGAAGACAAAAATTTTATCTTAGAAAATGAAGAACACAACAATTGCTTGTCTTAGAAAAAACAAGACCCTGATGACGACATGTGCTAATGTCGAAAGTGCTCGGAAGAAAATAAATATAGATAAACATGGTAGTTTTCTTACTTCCTTTAATAGGAATACTAAGAAACTTGTCCGTAGTTACGAGAGGATCCTATTAAAAAACTGTAGGCAAAACTTGTCAAAATTATTTAGTGAGATATGTTTTAATATATATAATATATATATATGGGGCTTTTCTGTGCGTGGTTGTGTGTGCAACAACCAGACTACCCGCACATGCGCTTTGATTATAGCTGTGCAGAACAAATAACATTTGTTGGAAGAAACGAATATTAAGAATTGGTCACAGCGTGACACAAGGGGGCCCAAAACGACCCAGGGTTTTACAGGAAATGAAAGGAAAGAAAAACTGAGAATAAGGAGGATTGAGGAAATGACAAAAATGTTATATGCAACATTGTTATTCTGTTTTTAATCAGTACCACCCCAAGCAAATCAGTAGAGTCACTAGTACGCAAGAGGTTACAGGGGTGGGGAAATTAGAACAGAGACATCAGTAATGAAGAGAAAGAGAAAAGAGCAATCAGGGAGGACAGTAGATAGATTCAAACTGAGTATAAATTTTTGCAAATTAATGTTGTTTTTAAAAGCATGGAGCCTGGAAGAAGTTTCTCAAGCGAGAAGTGCGAGATAAGAAACTGAGCATAAAAGTTACGATTACATCTAACTAGATCAACTGAAAATTGATGAGATCTTCTGCCAGTCTAGTATTGCGCTTAAATTCATACAGTCTGGATGCCATAACGAATAACTCATCCGAACAATGAACATGAAAGTATTTATTATAAAGGCACAGAGTGCCTACCTTACAGTGGTAGGGAAGTGACTAAATCCGAGCCGCCAGATCATGACCAATAATATTGCTGATACTTCTTTGGATCTTATAAAGGCGTTCAAGGAAAATTGTAGGAGCACTGGGCCATATATAAGAGCAATATTCTAAGCATGGATGAATAGTAAGACTTACAGATACACAAGATAGATTCCGGAGAGAAAAACTGTCACGCCCAACACAGTGAACCAATTTTGTTAGCAGCTGATCTAACGATTTATTCAATGTAAACTTCACTTCATGTCAGCTGAGAACGTTGGCTCGAGAAGGCGCAATGATTCACTTTCTTGGTGGATAGCATCAACCATGCTGATGGAAAGCAGAGAGAAGTCTCTCAGATGATTAATAGAGATAAGTTTAGTTTTGGAGGCGTTAAAATTGACAAGCCATCTTTTGTGCCAGTTATCGACGATTTTGATGTCGTTTTGTACATCAGCTGCTATTTTCACCTCGTCTAACTGATTAGCCTTACTATCGAGGCAGGAATAAATGGTAGTGTCGTCAGTGTAGATGCTAAGGTGTGAGCTGATGTCATCGGGAAGATGATTAATGAAGATTCAAAACAGCGTAGGACCAAAGATGGAGCCCTGGGGCACACACACGTTAGTACGAAAGAATGTAGACGAGTGGCCTTTCAGAACCACTTCTATTTCAATTGGGAGGTTGAAGATGTCAGTCCAAGAGGCTTCATAAAGAAAGTCTAGGAATGAGTCCCAATCAGTATGCTGTTACCGGAAAGTGGTCTTTTGCATATGGGCTTCCTGTTTAATAGATGATTGGAAGGAGATATCAATAGCTACCACTGAGTGATCCGAGTTACCAAGAGGGCAGTATTGTGAAGCTTGGCAAGAACAGAGAGAGAGGAGATAAGAAATAGATCCAATAGAGAAGCATATTGATCGATTTGACTAGGGATCAAGTAGAGAAACCCTCGATTTGAGTGAGGGATTGGGTAATGGAAAAATTTAATGTCTCTATAATATCAGCATCATTAGAATGTTTCAGCCACCTGTTGTGGTGTACATTAAAGTTACCGAAGACATAGATGTTCGTAGATGGATGGATGGATATATATATATATATATATATATATATATATATATATATATGTATGTGTGTGTGTGTGTGTGTGTGTGTGTGTGTGTGTGTGTGTGTGAAAATAATGTAAGGTATGCTGAAAATTTCTCGGTCTGACCTACTGATAAAAATCTCACCAAAGTACCAAACATTTTTTGTGAGGAGTATGCTTTATTTGTCTAGTGGAATATTTGTCTTTAATACCTTATATATATATATATATATATATATATATATATATATATATATATATATATATATATATGTGTGTGTGTGTGTGTGTGTGTGTGTGTGTGTGTGTAAGTGTGTGTGTATGCGGGTGTGCATGTGGGTGTGCATGTTCCCTTTTGTAGTTGGTTTACCTTCGACCATTATTATCGTTTCTCAAACACAAGCAAAAGACAGGATTTTGAAAGCTGATTTTCAAAGCAGTCTTAGACAACAGCCCACGTAAAATACGATTTTTCTTCACAATTAAAAGCTAGCACATGAGTGCATTTGTAAATTAAAAAAATATTTTCTGCGGTGTGTCTAAATTTTATAAATTTCTATCGATTATTCTGTCTCCGAATTTGGTTGTTAGACCCAGATAGCCGTGACTGTCACACGACTGAGACACGTCGTAGATCTTCAAATGTAGCAGTTATCTGACCATTCACCTGTATCGTCAAAATAAAATTTATTAACATCACAATGTTTGCACAGATGCCTTTTATCCAGGAGTCAGCAACTGAAGTGAATTTTGATTACAATGAAATAATAAAATCAATAAAAAATTGAAAACGTAGTTATGTTTTTCATTATTTTTTTTACTGATTTATAAATATATACCAAGTTCTCAGTGATTCATCGTAATGTAATTGTTAATGAACCGCTTCTAAGCATAATCCATGGCAGATTAAGGAATTTGATCCTCACCGAGGGTTTCATATCTGTACCAAAATGAAAATACGTTTAGCAAATAATAATCTTCGAGGTTCTTATTTTGGATTTATACTGTAAACAATGTTAGTAATTTATTTTACTAAAGTTTTTATTTAAACGATTTTTTAAAAAAAATACAGAGTGCGATGGATAAATTGTCGTCTAAATTACACAAAAATGAAAAACAGCGCTGACATCTCATTATAACAGATATAATTAACAAAATTACATAAAAATAACTTGAAATATTAAAGAGTAAATTTATTCAATAAGATCACCATTGGCTTCAACCACGATCTCCAGTGATATGTCTAATGATTTCACTTACAAACGATATGGAAAATTATTTGAAGATAACATTTGTTAGATGTTTTGTAATTATGTATCTATCTTCTCGTCCTTATGTCTCTTCTTGCTATGCATAATTCTATGCTTTAAAACTGTTGAGGTGTAATTTTAGTTGCATCTTAGCATCATTAAGGCAAAATCAATTACTTGCTGGCGACCATACCCTCCCAATGTTACATCGGACAAGTAATACTGAATTAAATTACAAACATAGAAGAATTCCATTTTGCTGTCTCAAGTCATCTCCATCAACCATCTTGGTATGCCATCAGTTAATTGTCATGACAAGTGGCAATGGGACAGCGTTCACAATATGGAGAGTTATATCACTGCCATGATCATGACATTACAGTTCATGTTTTAGTCTGATATTTTGTACCAATAAGCGTTACACTACTTTGTACCTCCAATTTTAATTCTTTTCCTATTATTTATCTACGCTTTCCATTGCAGTTTACAGAAGCAGTCTTGAAAGTATGCTTCGAAACGTCTCTAAACTAATCGCAGAGAATGCTGACTTCGATGAGAAAATGGATATTGACAGCTTTGATCAGGAAAATATGTTCGATGATGAACAGTTTCAATTTTATCAGAAGACGCAGAAGAAGAAGAGGTTGAAGATAACATTTCAAATATCGATGATTTAGAATCCGCAGAAGGCGTTAAAAGCGAAATAAGTTGTTCATGGCGACGAATGGCTGGTCAGTGTTGCCAATCTCTGAGAATTTTCAAACAAAAAGTAACAAGTAAGTTTCTTTCTATTCACAAAGTTATGATGTCAAAAATCTTGAAATATTTTTGTTAGTGCACAAAAGTAAAAAACGTTGTTTAAACAACAAAAATATAAATAATAAAAACCACTGATATTAATAAAATTTATTTAAACAAAACTATACATAATTTTGGAAAGAAAATATATTCTTTTTTGCTCTAATAATGAGCTTAGGATATCTATGCACAGTGGCGTAGTAATTATAAGTAAGAATCATATCTTCATCATTCAATTCTCAATTTATGGTGGTTCCTCTTTATTTGATGTTGAGATATAACCTTCAACAAAACGGATACATTTTCAGTTGAATCATTGAATTTTTATAATACCTGAATTTTAGCAATACCTGAATTTTAGCAGTACCTGTATTAAGCAATACCTCAATTTTAGTTACCTGGATGATGAAATATGACTGCAAATTAAGTAACAAGGTCGCTAGTTGATGTACAAATCTTTAAATTCCAGACAAGAATTATTTCGTTCTTGAAAAATAAATCTCTTATGAAGACTAATATTTTAACTTATCTGTACCATTAACACTGTAACGGAAAGAAATTCAGAAAGGAATTTGCTCAAGTATTGGTTCATATTTTCTAGTCCAATTATTCTACACCAAAAAAATGAATTATAAATAATTTCATTAAATCATAAATAATTTTGCATTTTCTTGCATTTTATTTCATATTTATATTTTATACCAAAGATAAATTATTTTTATATTCATATCTTCGATAGAAAAATAGATGTTCACTATCTAAAACTTATGTAGAAGAGAACTAGTTTTATCTAATATCTTATATTGAAAAGGAATTAGGAATTATTAGACGTTAGTTTTAATATTTGTATCTAATCTAAAAGAGATGAATTTAAAGGTTCCTTCATATAAAGAAATACATTTGTCTATTAAAATTTCATCAAAAATACCATTGAATATAAATGGTTACTGTCAAAATGGTAATGGTGAATGAGGTACCCGATATGAATGGAAGAGAACGTGGCAAGTAGTAGTTACAAGGACAGGGAAGTGGTAGTTATGAAGATAGAGAGGTGGTAGTTATGAGGAAAAAGAAGTGGTAGTTATGAGGAAAGGGAAGTGGTAGTTATGAGGATAGAGAAGTGGTAGTTATGAGGATAGAAAAGAAAGTTGACAACTGAGTCTTGATTTGAAGAGGTTAACATGGAACATGACAAAGTGGTAGTTATATGGATAGGGAAGAAAGATAACAAATGAGTCTTGATTTGAAGAGGTCAAGATGGAACATTACAAAGTGGTAGTTATAAGGATAGAGAAGATGACAACTGAGTCTTGAATTGAAGAGTTCAAGATGGAACATTACAAGTTATGAGGATAGGGAAAATCATTGACAAAAATGAATTATAAATCACTTAGTTAAATCATAAATAATTTTGCATTGTCTTGCATTTTATTTCATATTTATATATCATGCAAATGATAAATTATTTTTATACTCAAATCTTCGATAGAAAAATAGATGTTCACTATTTAAAAACTTATGTAGAAGAGAACTATTTTTATCTAATATCTTATATTGAAAAAGAATTAGGAATTATTAGACGTTAGTTTTAATATTTGTATCTAATCTAAAAGAGATGACTTTAATGGTTCATTCACGAGGTACCCGATATGAATGGAATAGAAAGTCGTAAGAAGTGGTAGTTATGAGGATATAGAAGTGGTAGTTATGAAGAAAGGGAAGTGGTAGTTATGAGGAAAGGGAAGTGGTAGTTATGAGGAAAGGGAAGTGGTAGTTATGAGGAAAGGGAAAGATGACAACTGAGTCTTGAGGATAGAGAAGAAAGATGAAATAACTGAGTCTTGATTTGAATAAGTCAAGATGGACATTGCAAAATAATAGTTATCAGAGGATGGTCGTTAAATGGTAGTTATCAGGATAGAGAAGGGTAGAGAAGAGCATCAGGAGAAGAAATGGTAGTTATCAGGATAGAGAAGTGGTCGTTATGAGGATAAGGAAGTGGTAGTTATCAGGATAGAGAAGTGGTCGTTATGAGGATAGAGAAGTGGTAGTTATGAGGATAGAGAAGTGGTAGTTATGAGGATAGAGAAGTGGTAGTTATGAGGATAGAGAAGTGGTAGTTATGAGGATAGAGAAGTGGTCGTTATGAGGATAAGGAAGTGGTAGTTATCAGGATAGAGAAGTGGTAGTTATGAGGATAGAGAAGTGGTAGTTATCAGGATAGAGAAGTGGTAGTTATCAGGATAGAGAAGTGGTAGTTATCAGGATAGAGAAATGGTAGTTATGAGGATAAGGAAGTGGTAGTTATCAGGATAGAGAAGTGGTAGTTATGAGGATAGGGAAGAAAGATGACAATTGAATCTTGATTTGAAGAGGTCAAGATGCAGCATTACTAAGTGGCAGCTCTTGATAAAAGGCTGTCTGAGTGGACCTTTCTTCTTATTTTTGGAACACAGAGGGAAAGAGAGTGATTTACCATGAAAATAACGCCTGACCAGTGACAGACTTGTAATGTTTTACAATGTTACACTTTGAAAATAAATAGCGTAAGCCTTTTGTAAAGCTCGCATCGAAAACTTTTTTTTTAAAATGATATTGTAGTCTTAACTGAAAAACAAAAAGATTAAGACATGATAACTTTCAGAAAAGTTCGAAAGGAAATCAATGATTAATATTATGCACCAACAATGATAATAATAGCGACACATTTCAACGTAAAATACAATAATAATGCCTTTATATAATAATGCTTTTATATACACAATAATAATGCCTTTATATAATAATGCTTTTATATAAACAATAATAATGCCTTTATATAATAATGCTTTTATATACACAATAATAATGCCTTTATATAATAATGCTTTTATATACACAATAATAATGCCTTTATATAATAATGCTTTTATATACACAATAATAATGCCTTTATATAATAATGCTTTTATATACACAATAATAATGCCTGTATATAATAATGCATTTATATACCCAATATATAGTTAAATGTGTACAAAATCTTCCAACTAACTTTTCTTAAAAAGAACAACGTCAGAAATATTTTGATACACCTTGTAACGACAAAAGTATGCAGGTGTAGGCTTTAGGAAACCTTTATTCAACTGACGATATTTATTTCCGTAAAAATAGAAAATGTGGCACAAGGCCTAAAAAGGGGGATTGGGGAAGGACGGTCATCACTTGTCTTAATTTTGAAACTTAGCTAACCACAACCACTGACCCAATCAAACAAAACAATATTCCTATCATCAAAACAACACATTTACTCTTACCATTCTTACTTCATCCACCAAAATACCTCATTGTTTCAATGAAAATCCTAAATATTCCCCCATATGTACAAATATTGTCTGTGGGAGGAGGGGAATATAACAACAAGTTAAAAAATCCCCAATGATTATGTACAATATAACTTAAATTATTTATACGTAACTAAACAAAAGCATGTTCGTAATAAAACCCCCACAAGCTTTAAATGTGGCAGGAATATCAGTTAAGTGGACGAAATCGATGCGGGGCTATAAAAATATAGAAAACATTCATCCATCCTATGCACTCACACAGACACTCACTCATCCTGACACAACAACAAATACGAAAAACACACACGCGAAACGAAAGGCGCTCCGCATCCACCAGAGAACTGACGTCACTGACCACCTAGGATGGGAATGGGGAATTAAACTTAAAATAAAATAGGGACAGAAATAAAAGGGGCCGATGACCATACATACCCTAGCTAAGTTTATAGAAAAAGGAAACTAAAAAGTCAAAAAAACAAACCTAAGCTAACCTAATTACGGGAGGGGGTGCCTATGTTCAACCCAGGTAAAGCAACATCCTGATGCCTAACCGGCATCAAAATGCCACTCCAGGCCAGACCCTTTCACACAACACAAACGCGCAAGATTTATCCACCATTTGCCGAATTCTGATGAAGTGAGTCGCCGCCTTTCCGTCCTAATCTTAACCTTAAGCCGATGCTTAATGTATAAGATCAGTTGGGAAGAAGTGAACTTCTCGCCTCCATAGAATCCCTTCTGATGTGTCGTTCAAATCACGACTCTAATAAAAGCTAGCAAGCATAACAACACTTAATGTTCAGTCCTCGTCAACGGCGGGGCGACATTGCTACAAACAGAAGCGGCCTCAAGGACAAATAACTTTTCAGACAGCATGTGAACGATGGGGTCTTAAACATACCTGCACAACGGCGCTACCACTTTGCAATGGAAGAAGGCGTGACCAATGGTCTCGACTTCCCCACTACAGCGACGGCAGTTTGGATATTTCTCCAAGTCCACTGTGCAAAGTCTCTTGGCGATCCAGAGGGTCCCACGCACCACCAGCCAGGTGAGCGGTGCTTCATTGTTATTGAGACATTTCAACCCGGGCGCCCAAGGCCATATTGAGCGAACCTCCTGCTTCGTAAGACCGAGCTCGTCAAGCAGTTCATCACTAACGCCCCCCACCCTGACTAACACCTGATATAATTCCTTACGAGACAACACCTGGACGTTGGAGAGGCCATCCGACGCCCATACGAGGCGTTTCAGAGCACGACGACTTTCACGGTAGAAGGAGCACTCGACTTTGGGTAAACGATGGCCTCCTCCTCGGATGAGTGCACACTTCTCAGGGATGGGAAGTTCTTACGGGCGTCTTCCTTCTAGAAGGCGCCTACCTCATCCAGCAACACATTCGCAACATATTCGATCCAGGAATCCCGATGCGAAGCATATATTGACGAATCTCAATGCTAGGCATGCCTAGACCGCCTTCAGGTGGATGAAGGCAAGAGATCTCCCGAGAGACTCTGGCGGCCTTGCCTCCCCACAAGAAGGAGAACAAGAGCCTCAATAACGCCAGTAATGTGTCAGACGGAAGTGGAGCACAGAGAGTCGGTAAAGGAGAATCGGGTAGATGTGTGAAACACATACTTCCGCCCTCCCCT